GCTTACAAGTTTTTGCAAATTTTGCGTTCTCGTACTTCTGTGGAGATTTTAACTCTTTGAGAGCGAAAGCTGCTAAATTCTTAGAATTCTCTCTTTGTCTGGAGAATACGAGTACACACCTATTATTTAGTATGTAAGTTGTTTATTGGGGGGCGGTCTGTACAAGTCAACTTACAGTTTTTTTGCAAATGCAGAGGAAATTTTAAATTCCAAATTAGTTAAAGTCAATGGTGTTACGCTATTCACAAAGCCATATTTTTTTGCAAAATCTGAAGGGAAATTTAAAAGTAAATTTGGTCCAAAATATGTTAAAAAGGTTTTATTTGGAAGGGACTAGATTTTAAATAGCAAGACTTCATTCAAAATTAAAAAATTAAAAATAGCGCATTATGGCTCGTGTTTTTTATTATGAAATAAAAAAAATAAATAAGAAAGAAGAAGATTGGTATAAATATGGGAAAGAAAATACTCCATTTTATTGTTTTAATATTATCAATGTGGCAAGGCAGTTCATAATACTCACCAGTTATGAAACTTCAAAAAAATGTATTATCCTACTTTTTGTATCATGGCATATAGCAACTTTTTTGGAGAAGGTTGCCAGCTGCTTAAAAAGTTAGATGCTTAAGAGATGTTAAGAGATAGAAATGGTGATGCCAGATCTAAACACTACAACGGGAATATGTTCCCTGCGAAAAATTATCTATGGTCAGATCTTTAATAATATCCAAGGGGAAGCTCTGCCTCAAATAAGCAGCTCAAAAACAAATTTATTTAATATAAGGCCTGGTTTAAGTAAATCAAAAATGTAGGCATTTGCTTTTCAAAACTAATTTTCTAATAATTGTTATGAGTTGACCCTTGTACATGTATAATAAGTCAAAAAATTAGAGCTTAATACCCAATTTCAACTCCAACTTCAAAGTTTCACATTTAAAAACCAAGTATGTACACCCCTAATGTGCTGCATGGCTTGTCCCTTTGATGACTTGTCAAAAATTGCATCTAAGTAGTGTGTCATTGTGCAGTGAAACATAAATGTCACAATGACATTTGTAATTTAATGTGGTTGTTGCAAGCAGTTGATTGCGAGTTGTACGCAACGAGCGAACATAAACAGAGCAAAGGGATGGGTTAGCTTGCAAGCGCGTCCGCCGCCATAACCGCACTTGCACCTCAATCACGCTGTGATGTTGGTTACCGATTGAGTGGCAGCCGCAGGACATGTACATACATACATACGTACGTACACTCATACACCCACCCACCCGCTTGGGCTCGATGTGGCGGAACGAGGATCGCCATAGCGCTTTTTATTACACACAAATAAGTGAACATCATTCAACAATTCAATCAGTATGACAGCGCAACACGGCAACAACTACTCACACTCGCACACACACACACACACACACAC